TAATTTATAATTAATCAAAATTATAGGGATTAAACATGCTATTTCTTTATTTTATTTATTTAATGACTAAAATAAAATTATTTAAAATTCGGATATTAGAATAAAATAAATTAAAATATAAACTAGGGATTAAAATATTATTTATTAAAATTAAGGGATTAAATATGTTATTTATCCTAAATATATTATTTTAATAAAAGGACTAAATAAAAGAAATTAAAATTTAAGATCTGAATTAAAAGTATTATAAAATCGATTTAGTGACTAGAATGTAAAGTTTATAAGTTAGGAGGACGGCGGACGGGGTTTAACTATTGTCTAATTACGCGCATAGTCCTTCCCGAAACGACGTCGTTCGGGAAGGCCTATAAAAAGTCCAAAACCGGCTGGCCCGAAGGGCCAGCTTCATTCTTCATTTCCTTCTCTCTCTCTCTTCTCTGAGAGAGAGAATTTTCTCTCGCTTCTCTCTAAAACAGAGAGAAGCCAGCCGGCCGGCAGCCGTCAGTCGGCGTTCGTCCGCCGTCAATCACCGCCGCCGGCCACCGTCTTATGTGGCCGGAAATTTTTTTTTACATCGAAACGTAGATCGGACCGTCCTAATGACGGTTCCGATGATCTTTTCCTTTAAACGGCTCCCAATCGGAGCAAATCTAAAAAAAATACCTTCGGTTTTTCGAAGGTTTTGGTGAGATCCGACGGTCGGCTTCCTCGGTGAGTTTCTCTCTTCCTTTTTCTTCTATTTTTTTGGTTGCTGGTTGTGGGATGTTGACTGAGATCGTTGGTAGTAGTTTTTTTTTATTGTTTCTCTGTTTTATTTTCTTTCTCCGGCTCTGTCTTTTCTCTTTTTGGTCTCTCTGTCTCTGTCTCTGGTTTCTTTTTCAGGTTCGGGTGGTGGCTTTTATAGCCACCACCGGTGTGGCCATCGGACCGGTCCGAAGAGGGGGTCTCGGTGAGTCACCGGACTACCAGTGGTGACTCACCCCGTAGCCATGGCGTGGACGGCTGGCGTTGGAGCTTCTGGAGCCTTCGGTTGGGACGTGGCAGCGGCGGAGGCGGCGAGAACAGCAACGGCGACCACGTGGCCCTAGGGTATCAGACCCTAGGGTTTCCATCTGGAGCCATCTCGACCGTTGGATCTTGCCAGATCCAACGGAAGTAAGCTGAGGCGGCTGGGATTAGGGTTTAGGAAACCCTAACTGAAACCCCCAAATGTTTAGGGTTTCTGGTTGGTCTGGAACGGTTCTGGTTTGTTTGTAACTGGGCCGATCCAGTTGTAATTGGGTCTGTAATTAATTATTTAAATATGTATTTAATATATATTTAAAAATAATAATAATAATAATAATAATAATAATAATAATAATAATAATAATAAAATAATATGGGTAAAAAATTAGTATCTTCAGCTGCCCCTCTTTGCTCATTCTTGTGTTAACAAGAATAGGGCAAAGATGAAAAGATAATAAATTTTTTTTATCCATTTGGCTTCACTTGATCATAATGGAGATATTGAATAAATTCTTCTCTCTCTCTAGATGAGTTCTTCTCATTATGAACTTTCTGCTGGGGAAGATGATGACCTCCTTTTTTCTGTGATAGAGTCATTCAAAAGGTTGAATAAGCTTTTGATGAGTTCTTCTCATTATGAACTTTCTCTTCTTTCTTCAGATGAGTTCTTCTCATTATGAACTTTCTCTGAAAAAATAACCCATCAAGTAATAGATTTGAGCAAAAGGTTGAACAAATTCTTCTCATTATGAACTTCTTCTTCCTTCTTCAGATGAGTTCTTCTCATTATGAACTTTCTCTGGCAAAAATAATCCATCAAGTGTGAATTCAGACAAAGGTTGAACAAATTCTTCTCATTATGAACTTCTTCTTCCTTCTTCAGATGAGTTCTTCTCATTATGAACCTTCTCTGGCAAAAATAATCCATCAAGTGATGAATTCAGACAAAAGGTTGAACAATTCTTCTCATTATGAACTTCTTCTTCCTTCTTCAGATGAGTTCTTCTCATTATGAACCTTCTCTGGCAAAAATAATCCATCAAGTGATGATTCAGACAAAAGGTTGAACAAATTCTTCTCATTATGAACTTCTTCTTCCTTCTTCAGATGAGTTCTTCTCATTATGAACCTTCTCTGGAAATGTCAATACATCAAATGATAGATTTGAATCTTTGCTAAAATCTTTGAAATTCCTGTTAAAAATTCAACATAGATGAAAATGAATGAAAATGCACCTATTTTGTAAACACCTAAAATATGATGCATGAATGTTAATTTATTTGATTTCAGACGGTGAATTGAGTATTTCTTCAATTGTAAAAACCGAATAGATCTTTCTTCTTCAAATCAGAGAATCTATCATCTTTGACAAATGTAGATGTAGATATTATGTAACAAAACCTCTTGAGAATAAAACTCAATAGTATAGGCTCTTGAAAACTTGTATTCATACAACATGTTGATTCTGATAACAACTCATCTGATTATGAAGTGACCTTTCAAGATGATTTCACAGATATCGATAGTTCTTCTAATACCGAGAAATCTTGAATTCTGATTCTGCTGAGGAGAATAAACTGTTATACTTGACAAAATGGGATTCTCAGATGCTGAAGCTTCAATAGCCATGTAGAGACGTGGTCCAGATTCATCAATTGCAGAATTGATAAATTTTATATGTGCTGCTCAAATGACTAAAGATGCTGACGCACTTCTTCCGGTAAAAGATGGGAAGCCATTATGTGATGATCCCAATTACAAGAAAAGGCGAAACTTGTGCTATGATTTTTAGGAAAGGAATAAGCAAAAGAAGCTTGAAAAGAAACTTCTTAATGAATATGATCATGCAGTTCATCTTTTAATTCCAATGATTGGTTCTGTAGTTCTTACCAAACCAAATCAAATAACTCAAAGAACACTTCCAGAAGATGCTATGAACACATTCATCTTCCAAATTCAATGATTGGTTCTGTCCAACCAGATCAGATAACTCAAAGAACACTTCCAGAAGATTCTATGAACACATTCATTTTCTAAATTCAATGATTTGTTCTGTCAAACCAGATCAAATAACTCAAAGAACACTTCCAGAAGATGCTATGAACACATTCATCTTCCAAATTCAATGATTGGTTCTGTCAAACCAGATCAGATAACTCAAAGAACACTTCCAGAAGATGCTATGAACACATTCATCTTCCAAATTCAATGATTGGTTCTGTCCAACCAGATCAGATAACTCAAAGAACACTTCCAGAAGATTCTATGAGCACATTCATCTTCCAAATTCAATGATTGGTTCTGTCCAACCAGATCAGATAACTCAAAGAACACTTCCAGAAGATGCTATGAACACATTCATCTTCCAAATTCAATGATTTGTTCTGTCAAACCAGATCAAATAACTCAAAGAACACTTCCAGAAGATGCTATTGGCAAATTCATCTTTTAGTTAATGTTTGGACTAGGATATCACAATATTTATTTGATGTAGAGCCAGAATTTATAGATTCGAAGCATTCCCATGCTACTACACTAAAAAGGGCTATATTCATAATTCTACCAATTAAGAACAGATTTTCTCTTATTCTGCTTCCTCCATGTGCTGATGCTTTTCCATTGACAAAGAAATGATGTCTTTCATGTGATCCAAGAAACAAGTTGAACTGTTTATAAACATGTACAGGAAGTGTCAAATTGACAGAAAGGATCTGTAAGGCTCTTGAAGCTTATGACAATGAGCCACCTTTGAGTATCCAAAAGTATGTTCTTAATGAGTGCTGAAAATGGAATCTAGTATGGGTTGGAAGGAATAAAGTTGCTTCACTTGAACCTGATGAGGTGGAAATGCTTCTAGGTTTCCTTAAAAACCATACACAAGGATCTGTATAGAGACATGTTTCCCAGTGATATCAATGTCTTATTTCTTTTTGCTGAAATCAATGCTACAAAGATCGCCTTTTATTGTCTTAGTATATTTTTGAAAACAGAGGTGCAAGAACTGAATGGTGATCGGTTGGAGCAATTGATGAGTAGATTTGGCGGATTCGACCTTGTTGTCGGTTGTGGGATGTTGACTGAGATCGTTGGTAGTAGTTTTTTTTTATTCGTTCTCTGTTTTATTTTCTTTCTCCGGCTCTGTCTTTTCTCTTTTTGGTCTCTCTGTCTCTATCTCTGGTTTCTTTTTCAGGTTCGGGTGGTGGCTTTTATAGCCACCACCGGTGTGGCCATCTGACCGGTCCGAAGAGGGGGTCTCGGTGAGTCACCGGACTACCAGTGGTGACTCACCCCGTAGCCATGGCGTGGACGGCTGGCGTTGGAGCTTCTGGAGCCTTCGGTTGGGACGTGGCAGCGGCGGAGGCGGCGAGAACAGCAATGGCGGCCGCGTGGCCCTAGGGTATCAGACCCTAGGGTTTCCATCTGGAGCCATCTGGACCGTTGGATCTTGCCAGATCCAACGGCAGCAAGCTGAGGCGGCTGGGATTAGGGTTTAGGAAACCCTAACTGAAACCCCCAAATATTTAGGGTTTCTGGTTGGTCTGGACCGATTCTGGTTTGTTTGTAACTGGGCCGGTCCAGTTGTAATTGGGTCTGTAATTAATTATTTATATATGTATTTAATATATATTTAATAATAATAATAATGATAATAATAATAATAATAATAATAATAATAATATGGGTAAAAAATTAGTATCTTCACACAATGTTATCATGAATTAATTATCTTATCCTATTACCGGAATTTTAAAGTTTTTTATATGGTTAAACTATATTATATATGTCATTTTAGCTTAGAAAACATTCTAAAAATCATTAAAAATGACTCCTTATAATTATAATTATTATGTTTTATGATAAGTTGTGCGAAATTTAAAATAATTCACGACCGCGGCACCCGCAGTGACCGCGATAGCATCCGTTATGTCCGCAACTGCGATAAACGCAACCGAAAACGCGGCCGCAAACGCTATTTAAATCGCTGTGTGCACCTCTATCTATTTTGTGTGAAAGGTTAAGGTGATCATGAATGTAATATAGAACATCCACAAGTCCATGAAACATATAAACATATTTATCCGATAATTAAAGTCCGAGAAAAAGGATATATATAGTCCAGCCAACCTAACGACACAACCATCAAAGTCCAGCACCACTTTTTCAGCCTTGAGAAGGTTATCTGTCCTAGGGCTTCTCCCAATCGGCACATTTGGCGTGTCCTGTCAAGGATATTAGATCTCAGTGATCATGCAATTGAGAAAACAGCGCGATGGATATTAATACATCCCAATGTAATGAAACAAATCAACAAGAAGAAAGTGTTACCAGCAGAATGTGTTATGTTAGTTCTAAATACCTCATCACATGGTCCATTGTCGTTGCAACCATATGGTGCAGAGCTTGATGTGAATACGAATGAACCTTCACCGTTCCAGCTTAAAGCAGCCAATCTGATCAATTCAAGGCAAAATCAATAGCAGCAACTTAAGTTCGAAGAGACGAAATAGGCAATCAACAGTTTGCCACTAACAAGAAATCTAAAATTCCAGATCAAAGTTTTGCCAAAGCTCTTTCACATATGATTACTACCCTACAACATCCATATGGCTAGTGACTAACTGTCAGTGACAAATCGTAAATATAAACAACAGAGATACCATGAAAATATTATCAGAATTACCTAATATCACCAGGGTAATCTGGGGTTTTTGAAGGAGGAGCACAGAAAATCACATAGGGGAACTTCTGATCGGTCTTAGTCTCTTTCAAAAGTGGGTTAATCCCCAGTGAGAGCAGTTCATCGTGGTGATCCGTCGTCACGGTCTGCCCGTAAATTTGACATCCTGGATGTTCCTGCTTCCACAAATTATGTCAAATATATATACATGTGTGTGTGTGTTATTGTCTTCTTTCTGAACAACTAAGACTAAAAGGCCAAATCCTTCAATCAGCTAATTCTTATAAATATCAAAGAAAACCCTTTGAATTTCAACCCCTGAAACTACATCGAATGATGTTTTTTGCTCAATACATAAGAGTGAAATGGAAGCCGGAGTTTTCTCAAGCAAAGGGGAAACAATAGAACGTTGAGTAAATTAAAGTAAACAATCAAACAATTGGCTTACCTCCCTCCATTTTTCAGCCACCAAATGACCAAGAACACCAGGTCCTACAATTAGCAAATCATTCTCTCCCACCATTGCTTTCCCTGCTTCATTTCAAACAAACAAAAAAATCCCAGAATAATTTTTTTTAAAAAGAAGACAAAGCAATACCTAAAAGAAACAAAAAGGAAAGCGAAAAGAAAATTTAAAAGAGACCCGTTGAGGATGAAGCTGAGACTTGAAGAGAAGCAGCATCCATTGAAGAAGAGAAGCTGAAGCTTCGGAAGATTGAAATCGGGTTCTTGAAAATGGATAGCGATGAGACCGATGATGATGATGATGATGATGATGATGGCGACCAAGAAATTGATTTTCTCGACAGATTGGTGAAATTTGACGCAAGAAATGGTTTCCAATTTTCCCGAAAAATCACTATTTTTTAATTTACATGTAAAACACCGTTAGATAAAATATTACATATCTAATATCTTTTGTAAAAAGACGCAATTCATGTATCGTATTTTATGTTGATGTGGCGTCATATGTTGGAAGGCGCGGCCTATTCATCGCGCTTTACGCCAGCTGGAGTTACATCAGCGTAAGGTGTGATGCATGGGTCGTGTCTTTCATAATTAATCCCGACCGTTCACACTCCTCATCCTATCTTATAAATACCCCTCTGAACTATTTTCACCAAACCAAATCTTCTCAAATCATACCAAAAACCAAACTTCGGTCAAATTTTATATAGAAGATAATATATTATATTATATTCCATTAAATTAATATTTTAGTATTTTATTTAATTATTTTATATTATTTTTTTACAGTTATAAAATGGACGGCGGTCTGTTTCGTTTGGATGAAAATCATATATCGAGACATTTTGCTGATCCGGTAACATTTTTAAATTCTATTTTAATTTAAATTATTAGTAATAATTTATTTATTTATTTATTTTATTATTAGTTTATATATTAATTTTTGTAATTATTAATAATTTTAGGAGAGCGACCGTATATTAGATCATTTTATCTGCAACCTTAAGTTAGTGATACCAACCCGTGTCTGGTCGTATTTAGTCGAGGTTGGATTTGGTTATGTAGCTAGATATGAAGGTCACTGTAGGATATAACCAAACCTGATTTCTACATTAGTCGAGCGGTGTAAACCGGAGACACACACATTTCATCTTCCGTGTGGAGAGTGTACAATTACGCTAGAGGATGTTTTCATGCACTTGGGGCTTTCGGTAGATGGAGATGTGCTTTCAGGGGTGGCGCACAGTAAATGGAATTTGTTGTGCTAAGAATATCTAGGAGGTGTCCCACTAAATTTTAACGGTGGTTGGATTCCGTTAAATTGGTTGGATGTAAATTTCCAGAATTTGAGTGATGACACCTCGGAGGATCATGTAAAAAAGTATGCACATGCATGCATACTACAACTGATAGAAGGGATGTTGATGCCAGAAAAATCGCGCAACCAAATTCACTGTATGTGGTTGTTGCATCTCGCCGATTTTCATCTGACTAGAACACTGAATTGGGGCTTGGCAGTTTTGGCATTCATGTATACGGAAATGTGTCGAGCTACTCACTATAGGAAAAATGTTATCGACAGATGTTTTCTTTTGTTGCAATCTTGGGCATGGTATCACATGCCATTTTTATGTCATGTTGTGAAGAACCCGTTCATATTCCCGTTATTATTGAGGTAATCACAATACTGATTTCATATATTAATCATTTTATCTAGTATATAATAAAAATTATTTCCTTGAATAGGTGGTCTATTGACATGAAAAATCATCGGGATCTACCTGATGAATTAGAATTAATGAGGCTACTAATTGATCAGAAGGCTGGCACAGATGTATGTTTTTAAATGTTTGAAAATCTATTTTTTTATTATCATTATATAATTAGATTATTATTTTGATAAGAATTGTATATATTTGTTTTAGTTTGAATGAGCTCCTTATTGTAATGATGATATGAGGATTTGCATTCCACATAAGTTAAGCGGCCCATTAGATGTTTGGATGGCGGTGGTCCCTCTAATATGTTATGCGATTTTCGAGTGGCACACCACTGATCGCGTGCTCCGACAATTTGGTTTTGTACAATCAATTTCGAAAGCACCTCAAAATCTCGACGAGTTGCATAACATCGATCACGGTAAAAAAATATGAGTGGGTCATGATATGAGAGGATCGATGTCAGCGCATTCCCCATAGAGAACTCATTTATGTGGACCATTTGACGGTTGCAGATGATTATTACGAGTAGTTCAACAGTAACGGGAAATCGTTTATGCTTTCTGAGGATACACGAGGATGGAGCATTCATCGATGTCAACAGAGACATGCACCGTCACAACCCCATCGTCCCCCGACTCATGGACGGAGAGCAGGTGTTTCCAGTTCGTCGTCAGCTGCAGTACCGGAACCTTCACAACAGCCACCATTTGTAACGATGTACACCCTGCAACCAGTTCATATGGGTCCGCAGCCATATCAGATGTCGCCATCGCCGTTCCCATACCAGATGCCGCCGCCGCCACAGAGTTATATGACCCCTCCTGGAGGATATTATGGTTTTATGTTTACAGATCCAACTTGGGGTTCATATACTGGTTATTTAGCGGGTTTAACATCACCACCGATGGTCGCCCGCACATACACCTCCTATACAGTTTTCTCACTCATCGATGTATGTGTTTTCTTAGTTTTCCCAATTTTCTATGAACGGTGGGATAGTCAATCATACACTTCCAGGGTCCATTTTCTTTGGAGGTGCTACATCGTCATCAGTTCCTCATCAACAAAATGTATCTGCTCCTGATGATGACGACGACAACGAAGATGATGATGGTGGTGGTGATGATGACGATGATGATAGTGAGGAGTCATAACAAGTTATACGAAAAAATCCTCCTCGAGACAGACAGACACCGCCCTGTGGAACACATTCAAGACATAAACATCGATAGTTTTTGATATTTTATTATATTTGTATTTAATTGTTTGTTGGACAAATAATTGCAATTTTTTAATTATTTACCATTTAATACTTAATTTATTTTGTTAATTTTGTTTATTACTTAATTCAAGCGAATGATGATGATCATTTAGTGTTTTTTTAATTATTTTTATAATAATAATAGTAAATATATGTATCAAAAACAATTGTCTTTTAAAAGTTTGTTGTATTTAAAATTATATTCAAATACCGAATTGATATTAGTTTGATAAAATTTAATAATTGTCTTCGATAATTCAAAATCAACAAATTTTTGTTATCGTTGTTCGATTGACTCGTGCTTATACGTGAACAAATACGTGTTTTAATCACATATTATCTTTTTAGAGTAAAACTCGTATAATTTTTTTAAGTTTCTCACCTATTATCTCTTTTATTTTAATCACATATAACGCCAATGTTGAATCCCGTTGTACCAATAAAAATGTGTCATATAAACTATAGAGTTGTACAAATCTCATTTTTCTTAATAAAGTTGTAAAGATAATATATGTCAAATCTTTATATTTATCAATGTTGATGGATAATTTGACTTTGAATGGTTCTTCTTTATCGTTTTCTTGTATTGTTTTCTTGTTTAATTAACCAGTGGTTTTCAAATGTCATTAACTTAAAGTAAATGTGAATTAAATTACAAGAACTATTCTTTTATAAACAACAACTACATCAGTTCCTCATCAACGGTTACTTGATGACAAAAGAAGTGGACATATTTTTCTACTGTGTCATGGGTTTCTACAATCCCCACGTCTTTTGTTTTCTCTAGATGTTTCTCGAATATCCATATCTAATGAATTCGAGTGGATTTTGGACGACCACGTTTCCTCAATAAAGTCGGATCTGGTATAATCGGAACCTAATTCTGAACCTCATTAGGGTCTTTTTCATTACCTATGGGGGAAAACTCAAATTCGTATACCTTAAACACTTCTGATAGTAGCTTAAAAAACCCCATAGTCGCACCATCTGACCCGTAGATTTACTCTTAACGAGTTAGCTTCAATCTCTTGAAGAGGTCGTGGCATCTCTGTGACACGAAACAATTCATGCGTTCTAGAGAAGCTTGTTACAGACATTTCATTTGATGCATTAATTCTTTTTTGTAGATCTGTAACTAATCTAGGGTGATAGACATGACCGCTTTGTATCCATGTTTGAGCTTGTCCCCCAAGCTTCGCAAAAAGCGCTCCCAAAAGAAAATATGTTGTTTTTACCAAAGCCGTTATAGGTAAATGACATGCCCCCTTTAAGGTCGAATTGATTGCCTCAATCAAGTTGGTCGTAATGTGTCCATATCGATATCCACCATCATATGCATTTGTCCACATTTCTTTATTGATGAGGCTGATGTGATTGTATCCTTCCTCGTTCTTCGCCCGCAAATCTTGAAGCATGGATTCAAATGTTTGAGGTAGTAGTTCGTAACATGAGCATAAAATGTAGAACTTAATAACTTTGTTTCTATAAAAAAAATGAAAATCATTGAAAGAAAAAATAATAATAGTTTCACTTACCCATGCACACAAATAGTTGACGCTCATCATTCTTCTTGAACATTCCATGATAGTTAGCAACAATGTGTTAGATACAATATCTATGTTGGACATAGGGTGGTTGCCACATTGGACCCAAAGACTCCATTGTTGCTTTGATCCCAGCTCCGCGATCTGAAATGACACATATTTTTTCCCTCGTGATAACATGTGAGCGTAAGTTTTGGAGGAAAAAAAGCCCAATAATCTGTATATTCTCCTTCAATAAGGGTAAAAACAACTGGAAGAATGTTGCGATTACCATCTTGGACAACTGCCAATAGTAAAACTTGCTTGTATTTTCCATAAAATAATGTCCCGTTGATTTGGACCACAGTCTTGCAGTATTTCACAACATTAATGCATTGTGGGTAAGTTCAAAAAAGCCGGTAGAATTGGCATCGATCGCAAAGAACTCGATCATATGGTATGCATGAAAAGTCTCGAAGTCCATAATTGTCCCAGGATTCAACCTCCGTACCACCCTAAACCAACTTGAAAGTTCGTTGTAATATGCATCCCATTCGTCGTGAAGTTGTTTAATCGCACTCTAGTTTGCCAACCATGCTTTTCTTTATGAGACAGAATACCCATATTACGATTGTATAGCTGAAATCAACACATCAATAGCTATATGGGAGCTTGCTTTTATCATGGTCATGATGGCTTGGCAGATCATTTCTGAGTCCAAGTTGGGATGATCTTGGTTGATCCTCCAGCATAATATTCGTAAGGATCGTTGTATATTGTTAGTTCCCATCTATTGTTTTTCCTCTTCCTCTTCGATACGCGAACTATCCAATTGCATCCATTTTTACGTCGGACACAGTGGCAGAC